CCTAAAGTGAATTTTATAGATTCAGTCAGAGCCTTTTGCCCAATGGATACCTTTAAACTAAAAGTCTCCAGTGACTGAGGACAATGCTTCCCAAAACCTGAATCTCTTCCCAGAAAGTAAATGGAATGAATCATCTTTTAAAAATCACACCTGGTGATTCCACCTCTTCCACTAAGCTTTTGTTATGTTTATTTGATCTTTGCTCAAATGCTTTAAGTTGTACTCAAATATAGTGTTTTGCTAAAATAAATAAATAAAGCTTTTGCTGTGTTTATTTGATGTTTAGTGGGGGAAAAGGTGTTAACACTTACTAGTTTGTAGCAGAATTTGATACTCCTTCCTACAAATTAAAGGAAGCTTCTTATAAACCATAAGGACCAAGTGGCCCAAAAGTCCAGGTGTTCAAACCAAACAGAAATCTGGAAAATGTGGTGTGATTTCCCCCCCCCCCCAACACCTTATTTAGGATATAATGCAATTAGCACCTCTGCAGCAGAGTCTGATTTGGCAGTTTTAATCAGACCGCCTCCTGGGGTGGTCAGGGCCACTGGGTGACACTTGAGATCTGAAGAGCGCGGGTAAAAATAACCTCTGCTCACAAGCCGTGATGAGCACCAGACAGCTGAGTCACCTTTGAAAGCAACTTTGATTTTGTGCATTAGAAGGAAATATTAAAAAGAGGGAGGAGAAAGCCCTCAAAAACCCATTTCAAACACATGTTTCATTGATCAGCCTGTCATGATTCCTTCAGGCTCTGTCACTGAGCTTCTCATCAGCTTCTCATCAGCATCTCTTCAGCATTTTCTTTTTATCACTGTTGAGAAACCTCCACTCAATGCAGAGGAGCAACTTCTTACAGAATTTCAACTCTGTTTGACACAAGGTAGTTTCTAAACCCATATTCCTGGCACAGCATCCACTTGTTATTTACTGGCGTTTCCAACATACTCAGCAAAGGCAGAACCAAGCCAGGCTGGAAATCCACAACAGAAAATGCACCCGCAGAACTCAGGGATGCTCCCCAAGGCAACTATGACATGAGGGAAAGTTGCTCTACATCAGACTTTCACTTAAGCGCAAACTAAATAAGCGAAGGGGGAAGCACAAGTTCTCTGAAGTCCAGGGATGGAATGGAAACCCCTGGACAGAAAGTGTTTCGGGGAGACTTTCACCATGACTTTCAGGTTCAATATTTTCTTTGAAGACTTTCCTTAAAAGAACCTAAACACCAGGAAACAAGCAGCGATACAGTGTGATAAAACAGTGATTTTTCCCTGTTTCCTACCGAGGGAAAAAAAAAAAAAAAAAAAAAAAAAAAAAAAAGGGAGCGGAAGGGCCACCCCCTTC